TATATTCAAATGGCTAGCATTGGCAGCTAAATAAATACCCCTCCCTCCAATCTAATGATTCTTAACTTGAATAATTGATAGACCCTTTAAAAACAGAAAGAAAAATAAATTCTTTTGGACCCAAACAGTTAACCTATTTTAAATTTACATAATAAATTTCAGTTTTAATATAGATATGGTTCTTTCTAATTTGGGCAGTTTCTTGACTTTAGCAAGCCTCTGGTGACTCAATTCTCTCATATTTATTTCCTTTTCAAACTATCCTGAAACTTTTATTCATGAGGAACATTTATGTGTTGTCTTCCTCTTTTCTTTTCTCACATATCTTTGGTAATTTTAGTAGTGATATGATTGACTCCAATAGGGTTGAAAACACCAGCTGAGCCTAAGTCCTGTGGCACGCCTGTTCATTAAGTTAGGCAGAGAGGTCATTCAACATATGCTTTTGCAATTATTTAGATTGACTTGGAAAGCCCTTGTAGAAAGCATTCGCATCTCTGTTACCACATGTTACAGGCTGATAATAAATACTTCACAGCAGAGGTCACCTTTTCTTTATCCACTGCCCTTGTGCCATTCCAAAGAGGCACTTGACATTCTCCCCTGGCCTCATCTCATGCCTTTTGCTGTACACAGGAGAGGCATCCTCTGCATATTTTCCTTTTGAGAGTTCATATCTATAAATTGTACCTTTTCTTCCAACTTGGTTCACTTCCATGCTTGTTCAAGCTTCCAAATTGTGTGTTTCAAACAAAAACCTGAACTTGAATGGCTCATCCCCTATTGAGGAATTTCGTCCCAAGCCAGTCCTTTCACACACAGATCTCTCTCTTCAAATTTAGCTCTATTTCTTAAGTAAACATTACTCCATCCAGATCTTCTCTTTTTGGAGATTTCTAAGCTTTGGCTCCAGCCTGTGTTCTCATGGGGTAATGGAGACAGCTCTAGAGTTGGGATTAAGAGATTCCCAGAGAAGTGCCTCCATGTAATAAGCTATAAAACCTTGGGAACCTCTTAATTTCTCTGAGGCTCATTTTTCTCATCTGTAAAATGGGATAATGATAGCTACCATCTCTCTTGATTTTTGTAAAGATTTCATGAAATATTGTATGTAAAATAAGGTTCAGAATTCTATCTGTATTATGTATTTTTAGTTGAATCTCTGGTTGCCCTAAGTTGTTTGTTTGTTTTACTTTCAGCCCCTCACCATTTTCTTTGAAAGTCTTCATCTTTTTCCTAAGGGTTCTCATTTCTCTTGGCTCGGGTTCTCTGTCACTTTGCTCTATCTATCTATTTAATTAATTAACCATTCACCCATTCTATCATATTTGGATAAAAATGTTCACATCCTGACAGCTGATGTCAAACAGCTGACAGTTGGAGTCAGGGAGACTAATTTGGGATAAGGTGACTACCTGAAGATGTGGTTTTCCAGGTGTCAAGACAAACCAAGAAATACTTTCTGATTTGGAACTGAACAGAAATTAGGAGGAGGGGAGAGGAGAAAAGCGAGGAAAGGGAGAGTAGGATGGGAAAGCATCCAGTAAGATGGTTCAGGAATGGGGACTGCCAGGGGTGCAGTGAGCAGTGAACAAAATCCTGGGTTGGGGGGACAATGGGAAGTAGTGGAACAAGGACATATACAACACTCATGAAAGAGGACTTCCAGAACTGCTTCAGAAAGTGGCCAGAATGATGGGATAAGTGTATTCGAAATGAGGGGGAATATTTTTGAGGGGGATTAATGGTGATGTGTCTTTTACTGTAATAAGTTTTTGTTTTTTTGTTTTTTTGTTTTTTGTTTTTTAAATTTAAACATTCACCGTATTATTTGATCACACCTCGTAATATGTACCAAACGCCAGCCATATCCTCCTTGGACTTGGGTTCCATCTAAAGAAAGCCTATCACACAGGAGGAACCTGATAAATGTTTGTTGAACAAATCCATTTTAGTTATTCCTGACATTAATTCATCTTCTTTTGTTCCTAATTAACCCCATTTTTTTTCTCTGAGTGATCTCAAAACTAGCTATTTTTAAGTGTTCTCTATATCCTTTTCCTCAGCAAGAACTAATTTTCTCTAGTGTTTTCTTTCTGTACCTCTTATTTGCTCCCACCAAATTCATGTTTACCTTTTTCTTTCTTTCAACCTGAAATCCATCTTTATTTTCTACCTCCCCTGCTTTCTCAAATTTCCCAGCAGTCATTTCTGTGGGTGTTATTGGCTTAGTTGTGTATGTGTGTGTTTTGTTTTGGTTTTGGTTTCTGGCACTTGTGGCTTGCAAAGCAATGCCAGTCTCCATTTTATGATGAAATATTCTTGGATGGTTTACATAAATACTCCCTTTTGCTCCACAATATTTGTACAATTCAGTTTACAGAGAGAGAAACAGACACAAAGATAGAGCTATGTAGATACAGAGAGTGAGTACACACACAAGTGCTTATCTCTTGGAGCTAACCTACTGAAGTGTTTCTGCGATGTTTGGGATTAGATCTAAAGTAATCCAGAAGGAAAGAAGTAAGAGAAAGAGGAAGTGGGGGGCTGGATGCTGTAGATAAAACAAGTTTGGCCACATTCTTGAAGCTCTGTGATGGGTACCTGACGGTATAATATTCACTTGACTTCTGTGCATTTTTAAATTTCCATAATAAAAGGCTTAATTAAAGTTTGCTTATTAAAGATCTGCATGTGGGTTATTTTGATCTCCACAGTCAACACATTTTTTTTTTTCACTGTACATGGCCCTTGGGTGATTTCATGAGCCTCTTCCCCAGCATGTCCCCCACCCCCCACCAAGTCACTTTAAACTTTCTGTTTGTATTGATTTGTTGGGATGTTCATTTCCCTTTGGTCTAAGAGCTCCTGGTGGGCAAGGGCAGTGTCTCACTTATCTTTGTGTCCTGGTGCCTAGCACAGAATCTCCTGAACTGAAATGAAATGAGCTAAAGAAAAGGATCTGGCAGTGAACCCATAGTCATGCCCCTTACTGATATCCCCTCCCCCCAATGCCATGGCTTTTGCTGGGTCTGTGAACACATCATAAGGAGCTTCTAAGTGGAGCCACAGCACATCCATGATAGGCGTATTCCTCAGGAGAGAGAGGGAACAACAACCCCTTTGGTTTTCTATATGTGCGGCCATGTCACCAGAAAGCTCTCTTATTGGCCTATTCCTTTTTCTTATGATACATTCTCCAAGATAATTCCAATTTCCTTTTATTTCTGAAGTTCACCTCAAACTTCTTACTTGCTATGATTTGGTGATTTAAATGGCGACAGTTGTAGGCCTAAATTAATGCTGGGGTCCTCACTGCAGGGTTTCCCTTCCAGCAGCCTCTCTTCCCCTGTGATACATCTTCCATCTCTAGACAGAGAGAATGGTTCCTTCTTTTCTTCTAACTTGCTTTGGATGGATGGCTTTCATCTTACCCTCAGGAAAGTCAATTGTAGCGGTGTTGCCATTTTCTCTTATCTTCCCATTTTCCTTATCTTCCTCCCCATTTTCCTTCCTGCTTTCATCTAGCTCAAATCTTCAGCTTTCCTTTGAATTTCCTATTCTAGGCTCAGTTTATACCGTCTCTTATATTTCTCTTACTACTGTGGTTCTGGCAGCTTCTAGAATAGTCACCCTGGCACCACCTTGCTTTCACTACTCTTTAAATGGCTTATTACAAATCTCATTACCTATTTTGTGTTTTTCCCAGTACGCCACTGGGAAGGTTCAACTGGAGAGTCAGATGTTATTATGCTTGTTTGACAAGGACCAGGAGTAGAACTTCAGTCTCCTAATCTCAGTTCAATGGTCCAGCTATCACCCACGGTCTGGCTTATATTTTGCTATTGTCCCTTGGGGAAGCGGTGGCTGGCCTTGAACTCTGTGCATTTATTTGCCTTGTCACACTTACCTTTCTGGAATATTCCTGACAGTAGTCCCAGAGACTGGGAACTGAGCTAAGCCAAAATGGGGTGGTTAGGGCTGTCTTATTGATTCATGCTGTAATTGACTGAGGCATGGTATTGTCTGAAACAAGTCTCTTCTTCCTGAACAAGAGCCAAACAACACAGAGGAGGGGGCGGGGATGCATCATTATGACCACAGGCCCTTAGCCAGCGGCCTTTGGAGTTCCAGGAATCAGAGACAGGCTTGGCACCAGGTCACACTCTAAGGACTGTCAACCTGTAAAAGGATGGACTAGAGTGCTGACCCCATTCTTGGGTACAGAGAAGTGCTGACTGCCAGATAGCATTATTAATTAGAGGTGCAGAATGGTGGAACTCTGAGTGACAGCTAACCTCTGTGGAGAAAAACTGGGGTTGTCCCCTACCATCACCTGAGGATGCCTTTGGTTATTCATATGTGAATATATGAAGAGAGAGTGTGTGTGTGATGCATGTGTTGTGGAGGGTAGAAGAGCTAGAGTAGGTCTAGCTATGGCAACACTTTCTCTCTCAACCCCACCTCCAATTAAAATCAACTTTATACCCCAACCATAATGCCCTGTCATCAGGATCCCCTCAGTTCTAGAGCATGAAACTTCTGGGAGGCCCTGAGCAAATCCTCCACTGAAACTAAATTCAGCCTCCCACCCTGCTTGCTTTGCAGAAGAGAATATGTTTGTAATAAATCTAATTTTTTCATTTTCCCTCACTACACCTTCAAAAGAAACAATGTATTTCTGTGTGAAACGGGAAAAAACATTTCACCTCAAGTGAAAACTTGAGCATCTTAAGACAAACACGCTGAAAAGAGCTCTTCATGTTTGCATACAATATTGGCCTTTGCAAAGCTCAGTGTGCTCCTCTCTAATCTTTGCCATCGAGGGGGACTCACCGTGGGTGGAACAACTCAGGGTTGGCATCAAGGAGATGAGAGCTTGCCCAGAGAGGCGGGGTAGAATAGTCAAGTATTCTGGATTCTCTGCTTACTCAACACAATCAGTTATGTAAATATCAATGGGATCTTGCCCTGGGCCAAAATGAGCCCTGAGTATGCAGTGGATTTACAATTTCAGATGCTTTATTATCTAAAGTCGAAAGAGAAGATATAAAAGCTGCTTTATTTACCAAGCTAGTGCACTAGGCCTATGGAAACTTTTGGTCCTTGTGCTAAGCTGTCAGATGTTCGAGGCAGTTGGCCAGATGGCTGTGTTTTACGTCCCAGCTTAACATTTTCGAGGCTGTTGAATCATGTAGATCCTTTTCAGTGGAGTGACCTTTTCCAGAGCAGGTCTGGGTTTTTGATGTGCCACGTGCACTACTGCTGGAAATTTATGGCTGAGCTAAATGTGAGAAAGAAAGAAAAAAAAATAAGCATATTGGATTTTTCTGGCTATGAAGTATTAAAGTAGTAGAAGGCCAATACAGTTGTTCAGGGGAATTTCACAATTTGGTTTACTTCTTTGATAATATTTCTTTTTTCCATGCCACTTCCAGCTCTTGGCCCATGGGTGTACGTGTTAACCTGAGTTTTCCCTCATTAGTTTGTCTCTAATTTGTAAAATTATAAAATATAGAAAGATAATATACATAACACATATGTGCATTTATATCTATGTTTTGAAGTGATATTTTAAAAGGTAAAAATGGTTAATTATGGTATTTCTGTGTCAGTACTATAATATTAGCAATTATTCTAGCACCAGTATGCACACAAGCGTATGGCTCACTATGTTCTAAGAAAGCTACAGGAACACTGGAGAAGTTCCTGAGGGGCAAGAACCCCTCAACTGTCAAAAAGTCAGGAATAAAGAACCTCTGAAAGAAGTTAGGAAGAGTAAGTGTTATTTCTTAGGTTGAAACATATGAAATTGCTATTTTTACAGGTTAAAAAATGGTGTGATATTGGCCAGTTCCTATGGTTCAGTCTAAACAGCCTGGTGAAGTAAAGGCCAAGGAATGACATGGTAGCTTCCGGTTCCCAAAGTTCTCATAGTCATCTGCACAGAAGACGTACGTGAGGAAACAGGCTCACATAGATTTAAATGAACACATACTGAGACTACTGGACAATAAGAAGAATATCCTACGGAACCAAGAGGCCTTATGGAATTTACCTTAAGGGGAGCTTAAAATCAAAAGGATGCCCAATGATGCAAGCACTGCAGACGTAATTTTCCTAGGAGGTGAATTTGGACTCAGGGACCTTTTGGGTCCATTCCAATTCTTGGTTTTCAAGCCGATCAATACAAACAGAAAGGTACCTAAGGAAAACTTCCTTCACAAGCAAGGAAGAGATGCCTCAGCTCACTAGGAATTTAATTTATCACTATTGGGCTTAGATGCCCTTGCCTTGACACTCAAATTAAATAAAAGGGGAGATAAACTGCTCATGACCCCAAGCATCACATTGTTTATGGTTTGCTTGGCTCTTCTAAGCCAGGGAAAACATATGTGCCTTATATCTCTTCTCAGATGTCCCTGAGCTCTAGGCACACAGCATTCCCTTTCATGTGAAACTTAACTCCAGAAAGTCCTTTCTTCTTGGTCTTAAAAAATTAAACACACAGGGAGAATATACACTGAAGTGTTAACAATCGTTATCTCTGAGGGGTGGAATCATGGGCAATTCCTACTCTTTTTCTTTATTTTGCCTATCAGTATTTTTCTAAAAATGTTCTTTTACAATGAGCAGGTACAAGTTATATAATAATTAAACCCAAGGACGGTCTAGGCTGGCATGCTAGCAGAAAGGAAGAAACACAATTGAGGTATTGGTCATCAATGTTGCCTTAGAATCTAAAAAAAAAAAAAAAAAGAGCTGGAGATGTTTTCTTTCAGATCAGTTATCATCAGGCCACATGACATGCATTTTACAGTGTGGTAAGGGTAGAGTGTTTTGTTTTGTTTTTCTTTTAACATTAGAACCAGAAGGAAACTTAAGAGGTCACTGATTTCAGTAGTTTTCTTCCAGACTGGGTGTCTTTAGTGTCAACTAAAACAGATGGATTATTTCAGGTTAGCTCTAAATCACATTCAAGAGATTACATCCAGGTAGGAAGAACAACCTGGCAAGTTACTTAAAGTGGAATGTAAAGTAAAGGGGGGTAAGAAAGGAAACGAACAAGTAATTCTGATATAACAGAAATCTGGGCAATTAGCCAAGGTGAGATGGGGCAAGAAGGCAAGTTGAGACTGAAGAGAGAACGCCACAATGTTGATTGTTGTTCTTAAGGCATGAGCGTGATGATGGGTGGAGGTGGGAAAGGAGAACAATGTGTTTGAACACACTGTTGCTTGATGTGGCTCTAATTCATTATTTGATCATCTCCAGGGTTATCTCTACAATTTAGGGGCTACATTTTTTTTTGATCACTTAAAAAATTGTGGTAAAAATCACCTAATTAAAATTGACCATTTCAAACTTTTTAAGTGCATAGTTTAATAGCACTAAATACATTTACATTGTTGTGCAAACATCATTATCATCCATCTTCAGAATTTTTCATCATACAAAACTGAAACTGTGTACATGTTAAACAATAAGTCCTCATTCCCTTCTACCCCAGCCTGTAGCAACCACCACTCTACCTTTTGTCTCTATGAGTTTGACTGCTCTAGGCATCTCATGTAAGTGGAATCATGCAACATTTGTCCTTTTGTATCTGGCTTATTTCATTTAGCATAATGTCTTCAAGGTTTATTCATATTGTAGCATGTGTCAGAATTTCCTTTCCTTTTAGGGCTGAATACTATTCTGTTGCATGTATATACACCACATTTTGTTTATCATATGTCGATGAACACTTGGGTTGCTTCCACCTTTTGATTATTGTGGATAATACTGCTATGAATACTGGTGTCAAAATACCTATTCAAGGGGCTGGCCGAGTGGCGCGATGGTTAAGAACTCGCTTGGGATGCCAGAGGGCCC